GGTGGGGTGGGTGGGTGGGAAATGCTTGAGAATGTGATCATGTTTCATGTTTTACCCTAAATATGGGTGTAACATAAAACATGGTCAGAAAGGTGGACTATTATTTTAATACTGTACCCCAGAAAATGGGTACTCCATAAAATATATAATGAACTAATCAGACATTTTAAACTTTTGAATAAGAAAGTAAAACATAAATTACTACTGAAACTGGTCCATCTTGGTTACAGTGATTAGATGTTCATTCCAAGCATCCAATCATATACAGGGAAGTAAAAAAAAAACCCAGAACATTGGAAGCTTGTAGTGCACATATGAACTGTACTAAGAACTCTCTGTGTGTTTTCTGGGAGCGCTTGAGCTACTGGCATACACCTACATATTGATACAAGTATGAGCGATTAGGAAATCTGTGTATATGGACATGGATAAAATAATAATATATGAATAAAAACTTTATATGAATAAAAACTAGCATTTCTGAGACAATATCTGCATTGAAAAAAAGTGAAACTAGATTGAAAGAAAGACAACATTTTATTAAGACTCTGTTCTGCATTAAAAGTTCATATATAAAGGATTGATTAGACCAGTGTAAAAGTTCTTCAGTGTATGTTGACATCCATATAAAACAAAAACAAAATTAATTCATTGCAGCAAGTAAAAATAACATCATCCTCCATTTACCTACCCTGTATTTGTTTTCCCCAATCTGCTCCACTTGGAATCGCTTGGCACACTTACATTTAGCCACTTGTCGAGTCACCTGTAACAGTAAACCATAATGCTTTCACTACTTAAATACTCTTAGCCAATTGCGACATAAAAGGAATGAACAGAAAATGTGAACTTAAAAGAACAGAAAAAGATATTGAACAATACCTCGTCTTCAATTTTGTCAGCATCAGTCACAGGTTTGTAAGCATCTTTGTTCGGGTGAAGTGCTGCTACAAACTCATAATAGTCAATGTAACCATCACCATCACGATCAAAGATGTCAGCCACAGCGCTCATCTCTAGGCGGCTGGTAGGAAATTCTGCCAGACAAAATAGAACAGAATATTTACTGTCTACGAAGAATAGGTCATTGACAGCCATGATATAGCATTTACTCCAGGAGAGGACAATTTTTTTCCCCCCAATAGAGTGGGAAGGCTTACAACTTCTGCTAGGTTTTAGTTCCTGTTTCTGTTCACATTGAGAATGGCACTTTCTTTTGTATCCTGGAGATGGAAAGTAAATAAAGGGAAATCTCCCCAGTGGGGGGGGGGGGAAAAACATTAAAACCTGACAGTTCTATCTCTTCAACATTTTAAGAATTACTCAATAAAGAGTTTGAATAGAGTCCCACAAAGATTTCCTTAAAGTTCTGCAAAATATTTAACAAACAACCAACTTTATGCTTTGTCAATTTATATCATTTTCTTGGACATGGGGTTTGGTTTACTAAAGGCAACTGGACAGTTGCACTTTGCAATATAATTTTCTCTTAGTTTAGTGAATGAGGTGAAGCTCTGCTGACTTCCATCATCCAATCATATGCAAGCAAAGCACTGTTTTTTCTTTACCTTGCACGTGATTGGGTATCCGTTCCAAAGTTAATTTTTACATCATTCACTAAGTTAAGGAAACATTTCCCTTGCAAAGTGAACAGTCTATTTTCCTTTAGTTAATAAACTCCAACATGTCCATTCTGCAACAAGATCTGTCAAAGAATAAGTGTTGATATGCTGTTTCAAAGACTGAATAAGGGATCTTCCTGTATAAATAATAAAATGTTGTAAATAATAATATATATGTGTACTTAAAAATATGTAAACCCTAAATCAGTTTATTAGCATGTTTGGTATCATGCCTCACTATATATTTTTCTTAAGCAAATAGTTTTTTTGTGATTCTGTTGCAAGGTTTTTTTTACTTAGAGAACCTGTCAGTAACAGCACTTCCTGTTACAGGATGACAACGCTTAGCTACAGCCTCACAATTAGCAGCAGTGTTGTCACTTTAATGAGTTAAAGATGGCAGAAGTCAGTACAAAGCACACCGTTTAGCAAGAAGTTAAAGCTATTAAGTTATTTGACTCTATTCAAGCAAAGTATGTATCAAAATGCGAATAGGAACACTCCTTATTTTCTTCGCGCAAACAAACAGATTCAGACTCTGGAATGCAGCTGCCATGTGCAAGGAAAATGTAAATCTGGTTATTGACAACACAATAATAAAGAAATTTCCCCAAACATCTACACTTTTGTCCTCAGTTGTGTAGTAGCCGATTACAACTCATCACAATTTCTCATTAACTGGTCTTACTTCAGCAAAGTAAATTCTGATTGGCTGCTCTTGGTTACTGCACTTAAGAATAAAAACGTTTTTTTTACTATTTGACATATGAACACACTGTAGTAATGTAGACTATAGTGTTGAATGCACAATAAGAAGACATCATACATTGCAATATATTTGGGGAATCTGGCACACCAAATAGACCAGTACAAATCAGTGAGGTCAAGTCAAACATTCCTTTGACAGATTTTTAAAATACTAAAGATGCAGCTCACAGATATTACTCTAGCTTAGATCCATAACAGAGCAATTTAGTGTTACAGCAAATCTGGTAGAGAAAAGCAGAGGCTGCATAAGTGTAACATCTGCTTAGTAACCAGCTGCAATAAGACCAAATGTGTGCTGGCAAAGGTCCTGAAACATCAATATCTGCAGGGTACTAATTAGTCGAGTTTCACCTGTATCCTCTTCTAAATAATACAGTATATTAAAACTATACCAAGATATCTTACTTGAAGAAAGAATTCCTTCTATAAATTCCTGCCGCGTTATCTTCCCGTCCTGATCTTTGTCTATCCTACGGAAGAAGTCCATTACCCGTGATTTCTTATGGTTCATCCACCTCATATATTTTTTTCGCCATATGTCAAAATCAAAGTTGGCAAACTCTTTGAGCTGTAATGAAAAACAAAGAGGTAAGGTATTTCACCAAAGCCTAGCTGTGATATGAATTAAGACTTGAGTAAGTGTAATTGTCCTTCTGGTTCAAATCTATCCAGTGAAAGCAATATGGAAATCGGCTCATGAGCCAATGATAATCTCACCATCATGTAAATTAGATTGTACCACCTTGGTTGGGTACTAGCAGATAGAATTACCCTCTGGGTTATTATTGAACTTGCAGTCTCAAGTGATAAGATTTCCGCACCACATTTTCTCCACCTCCTCCCATATGGTGCTTCCTGATTGCCAGGGAAGCCGGCTGCATGTTGTTTGGCCGGCTTAATTGTGGTTGGCCGGGAAACCGTCTTAAATAAAATATTAACCGTTCTGTAAGCAAAACTTAATTTTCTGGCAGTGCCCCTCCCGAGAATAGACTCTGGATCCGCCCCTGCTTGATACTAGAGTTTCTGAGCTATATAAAAGCAAACACATGCCTTAACTTGACAGCAACTACACAAAACTCAAATATCAATTTCGGGTGGTGGTAGAATTTAGTTAAATATCCCATAAAAAAACAAAACAAAAATTGGCCTGCAGGACATTTGGGAAAGTACAATACCTCTTCAAGCCTATCCAAAGCATCATTCAGATTTCTTCTTCTCTCTAGTGCCAAAAGCCACACATGTTGCCATTTGCTAACTAGTAAATTGACCCTTGGGTTTTTTGTTTCTAGTGCAGCTTGTGTGCCAGATGGATAAAGGTTAGGAGACGGTGAACCCTTTCCTGTTGAAACACAAAATGAGATGTCAGAATTCAGCCTTTATTAGAAAAAAATTGCTTTAAAACAGACAATATACTCAAAGCTTATATTTAAAGCAATAAAATGTTTATATAATCGGTCCTAAGAAGGTTATTAGCTGTTATTTTAGCACGAACAATGATTCTGTTAATACTGACATAAACCTACACACAAGTTTTTTTCCATCCAAAAAGAAACTGTATAATATATGAGATAACTTTTCCTTTATTAAATCTTTATAGCTGTAGAACTATCATCATGCAACTTAGTGACCTCAGCTATGTAATTTCTGTCTATTAATACTTACGGCCTGTTCTTCCTTTGCCTAAGATCGGGATTTGAGATTGCCCTGATGTAGATTCAGCTGCTTTCCTCTTGTAAGTCTTTGTGACTTTATCTACATCTGGCTGTTTTCTAGTCATTTCTTCCATAAATGCCTGAAACATTAAATAACGTATGTAAAAATGTGGCACAAAATCAACAGGCTGGAATGCAAAAGCCAGTAATTAGTTCTCTTGGAAGACCTTGTCAAAGGATTATATATTACCTGATGTTCTGCAATCAGAGCTTTCACTTCATCTATCTCCTCTGGGATGTCTTCCTTGTCTTTTTCATTGAGTGTAGCCTCTGCCCACTGTAACCATATCAGAAGAGATTCCAGCAACTCCTTTTTGGCTATCAATTCTCCCAATGCTACAGCCAGCCTCTGCTGATGCTGCTTTGCCCAGGTTAAGACCTAAGAAATGGTAAACCACATAAAAGATCAAAGCTGTGCACTGATCTGTTTTGTTTTGTCTTCATATAATTCCAAAGATTCTAATGTCAGTATGCATGAATACAGTTTTTAAAATGGTTTTAGAAGAACCTGTGTGTGTATAAAGTGTCCAAAAATGATTAATAACACTCTAAGCCCCCATTCACACCTATGCGTATTGTAATATGCGCGACCGTCGCGCGATTCCAAAGGCTACTTGGCAGTATACAAATGGAAAACGCCCTACAAAACGGACCAATACGCAGCAAAAAACGCTCCGGGACCTTTTCATGCGTGGGCCGTTTTGTAGTGCGTTCGGGACGGGCGGAAATACGGACAGGTGGGAACGATACCATTGACTACAATGCTATTTATTTTTTTGACCGTTTTGTAGAGCGTTCATCGAGCGTAGGACGCGCTACAAAACGGTCAGGTGTGAATGGGGCCTAACACGTTTTTGCTCTGTAAATTGAGCTGTCCATATACTAATAAACAAAATGGAATGATGAATCTCCCACTGCAACTATTGTATTTTGGCAACAGGTGCCCGCCACAGTCAGAATACATGAACAGTGACAGCAGCGGAAAATGACACTATTCAGCCAGGAACACATTCCCCAAATAAGACCTGTACCCTTTAGCTATTCATACTAAAGTGCTGGACACCAATTCTTGATAGGGCATTTGCAGGTACCCTGTTGAGGCTGTGCCATGCTGTGGAATCTCTTCTACAGGGCACCTGAAAATAATTGACTAAGTATCTACTGTTCTTGAAGCCTGATATGGCTACAGAAGGAACCCTGATGGCTTGTCCTGTCTCACACTCGGGAATATAGGTAATAGAAAAGATCAAGTTTGTTCCTATATACAGTATGTACCCAAGCAGGTATATTTATATGGGTGGATTGTTTGTGTGTACAATGGGGTCCACAAGAGATCAATGTCCAGCAAATTGACCATCAGTACTTTGAAAAGGTATACCATTTTCTCTGTAGTGTTGGAAAGAATGCAGAAGGGTTAGACCCTTTGGTACATTTTTTTGTCTTCGTTCCTGTTTGAGATATTTCTCCCAGACCTGTCGCCAGGGCAAGACATGAGAACATCTCAGCCCAAGATAGGCAGCAATAAACCCTGACAGAGGTTCTAACTCTTCCACACTGTATTCAAAACATAGTCTTGGCTGGAGCGCCACCTGAGAAAATATCATAGATATTTTTAACATATATAAAAGATGTATAAAAACTCACATACCTCCTCAAACCTTGCTCTTATGATGGTTATCCAGTGTTTAATAGTAGTAATGGAGTCCGGATGACAAACTGAAAGGATTGCTTCTCCCATACTTGCCCCATTATTCAGCTCAGTTCTTTTTTCCTCCACTTTTCTCATGAATTCCTAAAACAAGGAAATAATATATACATGTGATCACTCATGGCTCCCTATACAGCACGATCCAAAGAATAAAACTAATGAAGGAACTGTGAGTTTGGTAGGATTATTAGCTATCACAAGGCCTACAACAGTCAAGGAAGGTTGCTAGATTACACAAATATTTCTTATGATTTACTAATACAACTTTGGCTACAGTTCCCCTTTACAGTATTCCCTGATTTAAAGAATCATCAGCCATTTTTCACACTGTAACCAAGAGCATTAACAATCCAGGAATACAATGAGACATAGTATTCTTAAAAAATGAGATAATGCCCAATAATAATCTTAACCCTGAAGCTCTCCAGCTGTGGCCAAACTACTCCCATGATTCTCCTGGCCTATAAAACACCTTATGAACTAGTTCTTTGGAACTGTACCAAAAAGTGTTGATATATGACCATTACATAATCCAAGAATGCTATAATGACTTTTTTTTTCCCAAGCAAAGCATCCTTGCCTGTTGTTATTCGTTTAGTGTATACCTTGTCTGAGACCTAGAGTTAAGAGGTCTTTACATCATTTCTTAACCCAAAACCTAAAATGTATTAAAATCAGTGGGCTTTTCAAAAGGGAAATGAGCAATATGAAAACACACTAAAACCAGCAACAATCAATCAGCTATCAGCGTTCAATAATCTGAAACTTGAAATAACATTATCCAAGACTGTTGCACTATTTTATGGAATAAGGGCTCTTATAAAAGAGTGCTGGGAGCATCCCTACACCCAAAAGTTATGCTAAAATGTATTGTGCCAACCCAGGCAGAGGACCATCTTACTGGGGACATGAGGAAGAACAAGGGTTGTAGAGTCCCACTGGACAAAAACGAAAACCTATGTTCTTTTTAACATGACTCCACAAACCAAACACTTCACTGAGTGATTTGATTTATTGAGCTTGAACACGTGTCGGGCACTGTAAGTTGATGCCTAGGGTCACTAACCCTATGGGGGTGATTTACTAACCTAAACACACGCACGCACCAGGTGCGTGTGATTTTTACACAGCAAAGCGTATTTATCAACCAAAAAGTCTCTATAAGCATATTTCCACTAATGCCATATATAGAAAAATCATGCACATGATGCATATATAATGCTGCTTCACAGTTTAGACAAAAATGGTTAGCTCATACATTTACATTCCTGCATTCATCAACGCAAGCAACACAATGTAGAGCTAATTTACACAACATCACCTTGCAATTCAGGGCAGGGCTTTGCACAACACACCTGCTGGGTGTGTACACACTACAAAGGTGTTTAGATTCCACCCATAGATCATGCTGGGAGGGAACACACTACAGAGGTGTATACATGTTCGTGGTGTGTTTATAAGGTTAGTAAATCAACCCCTATGAGTCTTTATGTAGGACTGACCAAAAAGGCTGTACAATGAATAGACCCATGGATAATATGGAGCTGGTAGTGGAACAGAATTAGGCAAAGACAAGGAGGCTGTTTTTCTAAAGCAGTTAAGCATCATCAAATAATAAACTGTGTAGGGATTCACTTTAATTATACAATCCTCACATGATTGGGTATTCAAAGTAAACAAAAATGTGCTTCTCACATGATTGGATAATTGAAGCAAATATTCACACAATCTATTGTGAAGATTCTCAACTTCTTTAGTAAATCAGCTCATATATGTCTATTAAAGAAAAACATTTACCCTGATTTTTGAATGATTATCTGCAGCCGACATACAAAAAATAGGATTGTATCTAGTTTAGATCGTCACCAACTGAATATAGAATGCTAGGTGCACTAAAAACAAAAGACAGCCCAGGGAGCAGCCCCTACTGGTGGCCAAAACTCCAGGCACAGCTGTAAACAACTGCATTACATGGCATAGCAGTACAAATAACAAGAACAAATGTATTTATTTACACATACGGACAGCAACAAGCCAAAAGGCTGGGCCCTCCAATGAAACGCAAACAAAAAAATAATTTTACAGTGAATACAAAAATCCTAAAAATCATCAACTAGGACATCCCCAAGCAGTGTCGTTCTAGGTTGGGCAAAAAACAGAACAAACAAATAGAATAATTTTCTCAAAGAAAATTAATACAGGCCAGTCAAACTGCTTGGACAATGGTCTGCCAGATCCAGCATGAGCAACGTCCTTATGTGGGCCCTTTACAATCATGAACAGGGAGCCTGTCTTATGAAACCCAGCCATGTCATTCAAATACATCATAAGCACCCTGACTACATTCAAGGAATGTAGGGCCACTTTCTTAGGATGGACTGGCTTGGGAGAGAGCGATGGAAGCATGATGTCCTTGTTCAGGTGGAAAACTGATATCTTGAACAAGGCCCCTGAGAATACACAGAAGTAGGTGGCCTGGGCAACCTGAGGGTGAAAAAGGGTAACTCGAGGATGGGAGTGATACTGCCGGCGATGGCTTACAGGTATTGCAAAATGGCTCCCCCAGTTTCTTGCACCGTTGTACCACATATGGGACAAAAAAGGGAATCCTTGTCCTACAGGGCCCCAACAGAGGCCTGACCCCCTCTCTGACATTTCACCACCACATTGCCCACATATAATGAGACAGTGTAAGGTAGGTCCCCCATCAACAGTGGGAAAAATTGCTATACTCTCTGGCATAAAAAAAGGCTTTGGGCACCAACCGTGGGAGCCTTTAGCCATCAATACACAGGGGGGATTTTGCCAAACTGAAAAACTCAGTTATGGGTGCTCGTTCTGCCTCCCAGCTGTATCTTAAAGAAACAGTGGCTGCAAAGCACATTGGCCACCACACCAATCTCCCAGTAGTAACCTCACTATGGGGAATCATTTGGCCTCACTACTTGCCATGTATCTGTGTCCTAAAGAGGCAGGTGTTCCAAAAGGCCAGCGACCAAAATCTCATTTCCAGCAGTAACCCCACACTAGAGAAATGATGGAGCCCTCATTCACCCCATATATTAATGCCTTAGTGCAATAAGGGGAGATAGGGTAATGGTACAGAAAGGGTGGGGGGCAGACAGAAAGGAGCATTACTCACTGCACCTTTGCCAATGATATCCCATAACCACAGCCTTCTACTATGGTGACTGCAGACCACCAACCACTGGCCGGAGCCAATGGACTGGAGGCCTTTGAGAGGGGGCACTACAACAGATTATCAGGCAAGGGCTGGCTGGTCATATGTGCCCCCCAAGGCAAAAACCCCACAGGCTGCCCATAAGGAATTTGGGCCATTGCAACCGAACCTGCACAAAGCAAGGAGCTGTATGTGCTCGATGGCTACAGCTGGGGAAACTACCAGGATCTATATCATCCAACCTGTCACCCAGCTAGTGATTTGCTTGAAGAAAAGAAACAAAGGAAATCACAGAAAAAAAAATCTATATACTACCTCCTAGATGCCAGGCTAATAACTAAAATGTCCACAAGTCTGGAGAGAGTTTTGGCCACCAGCAGGGACTGCCCCTTGGGCTACCTTTAGATTTTTAGTGCACCTGGTGTCCTACTCCTGCAGCCAGTGGTTATCTAAAGCAAGGCTGTGTCTTCCAATGCACAAAGGAGAAAGGAATTAAAAAAAAAAAAAACAACTTACACTATACCAGAGCAATGAAAATATCAGGCTTTCATCTTCAATTAAACAGACAATTGTCCTTATATGTTCTCTTTGAAGGAAGAGAATGATTAAAGCAGATGTAGTTAGCACAGGACCTTTAAAGGGCCGAATGCTGTGAATTGGAGGACTTTCACATTTTGAATTTTTTGCAAAACCTAACTTTTAATCCACTCTACCATCCAAACCTATCTTATTTAGATTCCTTTCAAAATTTAAATATGCAAACCACGAAAATAAGCCTAGATAGATATATTGGCAATGATCTCAACAAACTTGTCCAAAGCATTACCAAGCATAAGATAACAAGATTGCTTCAGGAATTTATAAAAATAGTGAGGAGACGTAACACTTCTATTTTCTTTCCATTCAGTACTGCTGTTCCAAAATAAACATCATGCTTGTTGCCATTTAGAATGCCTTTGCCTAATAAAGTTGTCTTGGAAGCTGGAGATTTTTTTATACCTCACGTTTATGAGCTCGTGCAAGCCTTTCTCTTACTTAAACTGGATTTGCACTGAACTTTAACTCTATAAAGTTACAACAGAATGTTAATGCAGACACTAGAGGTGTCAGTACATGCCTTTAGCAGTCTTTTGGAGAATCACAGCAGCCCTGACACCTAGGGCATCGAATTATGTAAATTACACTTTAACTAAGTAGTCAGCATATTGGCCAACCCTTTTTGTGCCTCACTATAAGTCAGTTATCACATTTAGTGCCAATAATGGCCAACCTGAGTCAGGTAAATATGCTGGCTTCCTAATAAAAGTTTGCAATTAACAACAGTGGGAACTTAATTTGAGGTCCCAGAAGTCACCTCTAATATTTGTATTATTATAGGGTACATCTTATACTTGTTTTCAGTCAAAGATCAAAATATGTAATACATTACCGGCAAAAGTTTTAAAACATCTATAGAAATCATGGAATCAGGCAATCCTCTTTTTCTTATTTTGCCATCATAGCAATGGCTTTCTTACTGCCACCTGTCAAACCTGCAGTTTGAAGTCATCTCTTCACAGTTAAACTGAGACTTGCTTACTTTGATCAGTGTTAAGCTGTGCTTGAAGCTGTTGTCCTTTGAGCTGCCTATCATGCAAGCTGTTGAATCTCAGAAACTTGTATTTTTCAGTTTTATTCAGCTAAATTTCTTTTTTTTTTCACCTCTGGCTGTTTACTGCTAACCTTTGTACCATTTAGGGCTATTCACTGGACTTGAACTGCTTACATTTCAATAAAAACTGGAAAAATGGTGTTGTTCTAAAACTTTTGACCGGTAGCGTATATAGGGTAATAAGGAGGCATAAGATGCTTTAAAGGAGAACTATGAGGTGACTGCTTTTCACTCACCTCATAGTTCTAGCCGACGTGTGACAATGAGACTGTCACAGGTCGGCTCAGTAGATCGGGAGGTGAGCGAACACATACCGGCGTTCGCTCACCTCTCGATCCTGTCACAGCCCTCTGCCCTGACAGGGGAGGAGCTGGATTCCCCCTTCCCCGCTCCGTTCCGCCAGCGCTGACTGGCGGATCGGACGGGGGAGGGGGCGGGTACAGCTGGCTCTGCCTCTAGATAGGCAGAGCCAGCTGTCAGTCACGCAGCTGGGCGGATCCAGACATAATTGTCGGGATCCGCTTCAGCTGCGTCGTCTCAGTATAACGCAAGCAGTAGCTCATGGTATACTGAGCTTAGGGTGATGGGAGGACGCTAGTTTGTGTCCTCCCGTTACCCTTTGGAGAACTATGGGGAAAAGCCTTAACCCCATAGTTCTCCTTTAAACAAAATATCCCTGACTGCATGTCTTTACCTCCCTCATGTCACCTCCTACCTCTGACAACATATGATGCCTTTGATAAGCCACTGGTATGTGACGATAACTAACAGGTTTTATGTTCTTTACTATTAAGTGGCAGTAAAACCTCACTGGAAATAGTTGCCCATCCATCAATGGTAAAACAAAAGAAGAGTGTCTAAGAATGAGTGATAACATGAAAGCCCATTTCTTGCGGAAAATCAATTAAGAAATTTAAAGTGACAATAAACTCAGAAGTTAAATCCTAAAAATTAATTCAAGCTCCATAACTATTAACAAAAATTAGGGATGCACAGATACTTTTCGAGTACCAGTGCAGATACTTGTTTTTTTCATGAGAACTACCGAGGTTGCAGCGGTTGCAGCTGGGACCTAGCTCTGGCGCTCCACCACTGTCCTGAAAACATTAGTCTGTATTGTTTTAGAAAAACTGTCACATGACAATAAACAAAAATGTATCAGTACTCGTACTTGTAAGTACTCGGCAAGTACCAGTACTCGTAGTCGCTAAACTGGTATCTGTGCATCCCTTTATTTATATTTATAAAAACAAAATCGTACATTAAAACAGAGATGTACAAATCCCAGGAGCTCCGTGTGCTCCTTACAAATGACAGCTGCCTCCTAATTTTTGAATTTTTCTCTAGTGTAGTCTTGGAGCTCAAAAGTATCGGTACATGTACTCGTACTTGTACCGAGTACTGTACTTGGTATCTGTGCAACCCTAACAAAAATGTATCTGATTTGTGTATCACTCCGCTGTAGATCCTCAAATCATCTTTGAATTTATGCTGACACTGTCCTTCCTTATGGAGGGTGGCTACTTTTGTTCCCCACGGTCCCTGTGCGTGTCGTAAAGTAACTACTGCTCCAAGCTCGCTCCTGTGATGGACTACAATCTCAGTACAAATGATTAAACTAAATGTGAGATTGTAATCTACCATGGCAGTGAGCCTGGAGCGGTGTCTTTTTTACAACACACACAGGGACTAGGGGGAACAAAAGTAGTCACCCTCCTGAAGGAAGGACAATGTCATCATGAATAAAGATTTGAGGATCTAAAGCTGAGTGAGGAGTCAATGTTTTTCCCCATAGTTCTCCTTAGGGTAACGGGAGGACACAAACTAGCGTCCTCCCATTACCCTAAGCTCAGTATACCGCGAGCTACAGCTCGTATACTGAGATGCCGCAGCCAGAGCGGATCCCGACTTAGACGACGGGATCCGCCCAGCTGCGTGAGTGACAGCTGGCTCTGCCTATCTAGAGGCAGAGCCAGCTGTACCCGCCCCCTCCCCGTCCGTTCCGCCAGTCAGCGCTGGCAGATCGGAGCGGGGAGAGGGGAATCCAGCCCCTCCCCCTGTCACGGCAGAGAGCCGTGACGGGATCGAGAGGTGAGCGAACCCGGTATGTGTTCGCTCACCTCCCGATCTACTGAGCCGACCTGTGACAGTCTCATTGTCACAGGTCGGCTAGAACTATGAGGTGAGTGAAAAGCACTCACTTCATAGTTCTCCTTTAAGGTACCTTAATGCATTTTTAAGATATAACTCCAAGTTTAGTATCACACTAAGTTTCTATAACACATTTTTCTTTTAAATGTTTAAAAGTTTAAAACCTTTTAAAGTGAGTCCTATCTGTCTCATTCCAACAAGGACACAGATATATTAATAACCAAACGGGTAAAACATGCAATTGTTTGTCTTAAATATAAACATGTCTTTATTTCATTTTAATTAATAAACATACATAAATTATTTTATGTGGGTCCCCTGCAACTAAGGTAATAATGTATTAGGGTAATTCTGAATGTGCAAGGTATTCTAATTGTAATGTGAAATAATGAAAAGACTTGACAACTTTTAGCCCAAGCATGAGCTTTAACCTTATGAAAAAATACAGAAGCAAAGCCACATGAAACACAAAATACAATTTTTGTGTATATACATATTTTCTTTAGTGCTGGAATGAAGAAAAACCCTAAATTAATAACACATTCTTTTTAGCTTATGCATGACTTTGTGCTTACCTTGTGCTGTTCAATTAGTGTCTTTAGAGACTCTTCATCATCGGGGAGGACCCCGTGAAATCTCAGGGTCTGCTCTGCCTCAGCCAGCCACTCCAACAAGACATGCACAGCCGAGTGAAACTCCTCTGCCTGGAATAAGACATAATCTGTAACGTGCAATTTATTCTATCCAAATACTTTATTCTTTATAAAGTTATGTACTTACACAGCAAACTGACCCATCTTCCCACTGAACACATTCATAACACCTTCATAAATAATACCCTGACTGCAAATAAGAACTATAAAGCACACCTTATTTGGCAGAAAGCATGTGATTTATAAACAAAACATGTCTTCTTTCAATTAAGAGTCTTTGCATAAGCTGAGCTGTAAATCTGCCAGGCTAGCTCTTACTGAATTTTCACTAGTGTAAACTGTTTCCCATCAGAGTTTAGTCCAGAGACCAGGCTGGTATATTCACTCATCACTTGCTGATAAATGACCTCTTAAATGTAGTACAGGACAGGCATTCATGTTATGACTGATCTATAATCCCTACATGAGCCCACCTGGCGCAGTGCGTCTTCCAGTCGGGTCTGTTTGGATACAGATAAAGTGCACACAGTTTCCCAGCGGGTGCCTAATTCCTGCATTTGGGCTTTCACCCAAGACGAGTCATCACGACTTCCTTCAATTAACTCTCTGGACGAACGCTTGAGGGCCTGGATACTGCTGCTTCTCTTTCCCAGCTCTTTTTGAAAAACCTAAGAGAGAAAGATGACTTTACTGAAATGTAAGACACAAGATAAATTGGCCTCTACATCTTTAATCCTCGTTATTCTTCCATGATTTAAAATCTCTACAGCCACGATAGATACAGCAACAAAACCCCCTTTTTTGTAGTAAAGTGGGGGTGAGTTAGAACCTCTGCGATGATGTTATTAAAGTCTGTGCTGTTCTTTGTATGTATTAAGTGACATGTTTGTCTGAGTAGGATTGTGGATGTAGGTAAGCAGGAGTGTAAGAGTGTGTATGTATCTTTGAATCAAGTAATTTTATGAAATTTTTGTATAGGTAACCATACATAAATAGTTATTCCATATCCACATCTGCATATTACAAGATGACATCCATCCATAGGCACTACAGAAGATCTTAGAATTCTGAAATGTGCTGCAGATATAGAAAACAATGGACATACATACTGTACAAGGACCAATGGGGTTTTACAGCGTAGTGCCAACTCCAGGGTCGATGAATAATGACATAGCACATCATCTTTTGGAGATGGCAAGGAAAACAATCTCAACAAACCAAACGCAACATCAAACAAACAACCCACCCTATCCGTTATGAGGCAAATACATATGTAGAAAACTTGTATAATGCATGCAAACTTGTGTATTAGAGTTGTAATAACAAAGGTATATGGATCAAACACTTTGTGAGCCAGTTTTTGTATTAATTGAAATAAATATTGGGTAACAAGAACAAAGGGGTGCTAACTCTGGTACCGCCAACCTTGGAACCCATAGTCCCTAGTGAGAACACTAAGTTTTCCTCTGGTGGCATAACATTAACCTGTTTTCACCTGGTTAATGTTATGCCACAAAAAGCCATGTGTTCTGAAGTGTAAGTATATGTCATTGGATAATTGGGATGTTTGTGAATGTGTGCCTGTGACCAGCGTGTAGAGTGTAAGTGAATAGGAGTGTGTTTATATACTGTATGTGTGTGTGGTATATGTGTAAGAATGCATGTGAGGTATGTATGTAGATATGTGCATGTTTCTAGGTAGGTAGTGCATATGAGAATATGTAAGAGTGTATTTAGATAGAAGTGTGTAAATGTATGTGTGTGTGTCGGAGTGCACAGACTTGTATTTGTGTGTAAGTATATTATGTGTGTGTGTGTGATACCACAGATGTGCAAGTATGCACTGGCATATACGTGGAAGAAAAGCTGGCACCCTTCAGCTTTTGCTTAAAAGATTGGTTCAAACAGTGATTATAAATGAGGTGAGACATGCACCTATACCACCAGAGATGGGCAACCTACAGCTCTGCAGCTTAAAAGGAAGGGTGAGGTGCGTGTGGTAATGCTGTACTAAAAAAACTACTGCAGAAAACAACAAAAAAGATCTGTATCTCTACAGCTTCAATACACATTAAAGTCAGGTTCAAGTACTAATCTAAATTGCATTTTATTGAACTGTATATATAACAGAGATTTGAAAGAAAAAGAAGTAGCTTGAAGTTGAACATTACTTTGTGGTTGTCAAAGAGATTCATCACTATGTCAATATCTCCATGTACTGGTTGATCTTCAGCCAACTGTGGTTCCACTCTGTACAGCCAGTCAATAAGAGCCTGCAAAGCATCTGTAAACTGGCCAGAGAACAGCAGTGCTTCCTCCAGCTTGTTTTGTCTAGGTCACAAAAAACAAAACAATAAAAAAACAAATTTTAAAGAGAAATCCTGATACTGTATACTACATATAGCAAGACACATCAGTTTGTCTTTTACATCTGCTTTATGCCCCTTTCACACGGCCGGTTGTCAGTTTTTCAGGCTGACCCTGATTGGATGCCCAATACAAGTCTATGGGCTGCGTGTTAATGGACGAGCGTCCGCTTATACCCGGTTACCCCTGACTCCGACCAGGTCTGGAAAAACAAATGGAACAGTGTTTTGTTTCGCTGGATTGGGCCAGATCGGAGGATAATCTTATTTTAAATGGAGACATGGGGTCCGACATGGGGTCTGCTAATTGCACATTTTTCCTCCACCGAGGTAAGTTATTACCTTTTTGGTAACTTTTTTTATGTTTTTGCATATATCTACTGCTCGCTAGCAGTAGATATATGTAAAAACAAAAGTGACTTTAATACGGCTTTAAATAAGAACTGAAGCCAAAACATCTTTTTAATTACAGATAGGTAAGGGAGGTTTATAACCCCTGTCTGCTTTTTTGACATTGAGGAGATTTCCATTACTTCCCATCCACAACAGGCACTGAGAGGAAATCCCTCCAAAGAGAGGGAAACCCCTGGTGGTCAGCAGGATCCCCTTAACTAGTGTCCACGTTGGAAGATTTCCAATCTATTCCTGTTCTGATAACAACCCAAAATTTGGGATCTTCTTTCACTTTGACTGATAACAGTCACCAGGACAAATAGAGAAGATGATTCTCCCTAATGGAGACACAAACAGCAGGTATCTAATCCCTCTCCACTCTATGCAAAACTAAAAAAAGGTTTCAGCTTCAGTTGCACTTTAATGACGGGCCTAAAATGTCAGCACTGCAGATATCATAAATGATAAAACTGGAACAGTCCAGCTCATATGTTGCGCGAGGTATGAGGTTTTTGGCTACTGGTACAGTTTGTATTGATTTTGTGAACCGGACATTGGTATACTTTAGCCTTCCCAATCTCCATGGGTAGCAGCGGGAAAAGGGCAGCCCAAAGTGTCTTTTTTTTTAGAAGGTAACTAAAAGTATTGACAGAATAAGTTAAACACAAAAAAGTATGGGCAATCACCTACTGCAACTCTACATTTTTGTAGGTCATGACAAGTACACACTGAGTATATGTGAAAACACAGTGAATACAATCTCATACAATTTTTAATATGGCAATGTATTTCAAAAGTCGAATTTGCAGCGTTCATTGAAATAATGCCGGTTGCTTCTCTCATGAAGGTCATTTTACAGGCTTTCTTGTACTTGTATGGGGTGACAATACTCTGCCGCTGTATCCCAACTGCTCTCCTGCATTGTCACCCTGTCATCATAAGTGACTGCGATGATGCACATTGCACAGACATGTTCTGCTGTTGTCACCATCAAAAAAACGGTCCAAATAAATGATATAACTGGAGCACATCTATGTAGGCAGGAAGCAGCAGCAAAAAGACTGCAGGAATCAGCAGCACGGAGATGACAAAAACTTGTGAACATAGTAGAAAAACATGGCAGTTATTTATGACACCTGTTTAGTAAATTATTGTCTTCCAGTTAAAGTGGAAGTTAAGTTGTTAAAAAAAAAACAACTGCTGACAATAGAGACTGGTTAAGTCTCTTCTACCATAAGAGCACCTAGCTGCCTGTCAGTATTTTTTTTTTCCTGTACACTGAGCTGCGCAGCTCAGTGCACAGACTTGGCATGCCGAGATGAAGTAACTTGTGTGCGCATGGGAGTTATGTCAGTGGGGGCCAGCCAATCAAGTGGCTGGAGACTCAAAATCAGGGAAAAAACTGGGCGAAGATAGAAAAGCGTGTGCGAGAGGAGCGCAGTGCTGGAGGGGGTCTCTTTGGCAGGTGTGCCTGCCATAATGTGCTAATATGCTGTGCAAACTAGTACATTATAGCTAAAAGCTCCAGTGGGCCCCTTTATATTTGCTTTGAGGCAGAGGTAGGCAACCTCAGCCCTCCAGCTGTAGTGAAACTACAAAACCAATCATGCCTTTGCTTCTTGGAGTCATGCCTGTGGTTGTCTGAGTCTTGCAATGCCTCATGCTACTTGTACTTCCACAACAGCTGAAGTGCGCAGGTTGCCTACCCTTGAGTTAGATTTTAGATCTACATTTGACTTGACTTTATTAATAAATAATGCTCTTGCTGCACAAGAGATATGAGATCTTCATCCTTCAGGAACTAGGATGTGTATTGGACATTTACAGAAGGACAAAACAGTCTGACAGTAGAGTAATGTAATTCACTTTTAAACTTTTAATCACTCTGAGTGAGTTTTCTTAAACCGTAGCTTTGTGGCTTTTCAAAATATATTATCTTCTTTTATTTCATTAATATTTGAGTTTAGGGCCAACATCACTTTCACCACAATGCTTCCTACCTCTCCACTGATTTCCCACAGACTGTGTCCCATTTGTCTCTTATCTCGCTGAGCATGTCATCGAGTTTATGAATGTCATCATTCAGCGTTGCTTTCTCTTTCAAGGAGCGCCCACTCCTAGCGGTGGAATCGTAGACAGAATGTTTGGCACCCAGGGTTTTCTGAAATTCCTGTGGATTACAATTAAAACAACACTAGTGCAATTCTGTAATTCAACATATAGATGGTATAGGCAATAGCAAGACAACAGTTGTAACAGCAAAGACATTCCCTATAGTGCTTTGCCACAAGGAATTTGTAACAAATCCTTTTGGCAACAAAAATTGGAACAATAAAGACGTAAATCAAGATGGAGCATACATAGCCATAATACATCATTGTAGCAAAGTCTGGATGGAAAGTTTTGCTCATAAAGTCTATTATCCAGACTCATGCGTTCCAGTCTTATACAGATATGTAGTACAGATTACTTCATTAGTTTGTTCTAGGTTGTGCCAGAGAAATATTTTTCTTCTTTTAGTGGAGTGATATAATATATGTGTTACCAAATGCACTGGCCAGTCATCAGAAGTAGTCAGAGCCTTTCAAAACGTGAAGTGGTGTTTTCTATTAAATGCTAAATTCAGCACTTTCTATAGCCATCCATCAGATTAAACACTGACCACAGGCAACGAGGAAGAAAAGACTGATCTGTAATTTATACTCTGTACTTTGATTTGTTCAGTCCAGCAAACTCTTGAACACCATCTAAGATGTCTATTGTTACATTAGGAAAACCTTAGGAAAAAATGTTCCCCTGACCTGAGGTGTTAAGGAAAATCTAAAAGGCACAGCTACTTGCCCCCTGTCACTACTCTTTGGAAAGCTGTCGAGTTATAACCAAATAATATTTATTATTAAATGCTTCAAAATGATTTTCAACAATTTAAATACTTTTATTAGGAAATGTAAAATGAATGCACTTAGGAGTTCATTTAAAAAATGCAGGAATCTAACATATTAACCCTTGCACTGGGGCTACCCCCAAACTGCAAGGGTTAACTGCTCGTTATGGTCTAGACGCTCAAATAAAAAAAAATAATACATACTCACCTGACCCGCAGTCTTGTCCGGCTGCCAGACTGGTCCCAGCAGCCTCTTCTCCCCCAGGCTCTGGCTGTCTAAGCCCCGCTGATGTCATCATGTCTAATGAAGGTCCGTCTACCTGCATTAGATGTGAGGACACCAAGGGAAATACTACAGCTGGAGTGGACGGCAAGAGAGGTGAGCTCAGGGACACTGGATCAGGTGAGTATATCTTCTGTATTCTGGCCCCTACACCAAAATTAGCAGTTAACCCCTGCAGTGCAGGGGTTGCCCCACTGCAAGTGTTCATTTTTTAAATTACTGGAGTTCCTCTTTGAAGGCTAGTAGGCTGTTCACGGCAAGGGAATGCCCCCTCAGCTTAGTGAATGTGGTGAAAAATCGACTTTGTAAAGAATACCCAACTATGTGCAGGGAAAATAAAAAAAGCGGTATTTTTGCTTGCACGTGATTTGGATGATGGAAGTCAGCAGAGCTTCATCTCATTCACTAGGCTAAGGGAAAATGATCGTGCAAAGTGAACAGTCTATTTGCCATTAGTAAATCAACCCCTTTGTCTCAAAAGTGAAAAAAGTCAGGCTGAGATATGTTCCCAATGTTAAACTATTGGGACATAGTCACGCTTATTTGATAAAGCAATGCAAGAGACAATGAGAAAAGAAATAGGAATTTAGTGACAGTCAATAAAAATGTTATCTTGTACCGACTTTACTTTAGCTATTGGAAATCTGGATGGTTGGTATGGGCTAGTACACTATGGGGTCTATTCACAAAAGGGTGAAGAGTTTGGAGAAGGCAGGAGAAATGAACAATCTAGGACAAAATAGCTAAACTCGAAAGTGAGCTGAATTGCAGAATTTCTCCAAATCAGCTTTTTTGGCCTAGATTGTTCACTTCTCCTGTCTTCTCCAAACTCTTCACCTTTTTTTGAATAGACCACTATATGTTTCTTGTATTCTTGGTTTGAATTCAGGAGCAACATGATGTATAATGTAGTCACCAATTCCTTACAAGTGTCCATGTTGTGCTGGGGGAGTGTGACATTAAGACACCCTATTAGTGCATGTCATTTAAGAGAAAGTGTATTTTTAGTGAGCACATATTTTTATTGCTGTGGTTCCCTTTACATAATTTTATTATGACTTTCACATTTTGAAAAGTTTATTTTCTATTATTGTGTTTATGGGTATCTATGGTCAAAAACTAAAAATAAATATGTATTTGTATACTGAATTTCCATAAGTTCTATCCCATGCCTAATAACCATATTGATCTAGAAGTTTGTAAACTGACTTATTGAAGATGTCCATAGGATGTACCTCCTCAATGCCCTGACACAATTTCACTCAGCCCTGTGGATGTGTCACAACTCTAACTAAGCCTGCTGTCTGAACTACAACTCAACGTCTCAACTTCCCACAATGTAACATTATCATTGTTTGCTAGAAGCAGTTCATGATGGGCTATGTAGTCTTGAGAAATTCAGATTACATCATATCAAGCAACAGGGAAAAATGAACAGTAGCAAATTATTTCATATTTTTCTTGACCTTTTACGTCACTGACCTTATGTGCTACCAGTTGAGTCTTGATTTTGTCTGGGTCATTTGCAATCTCAAGTTCTGAATCTAAGGAATTTTCTGATTCTTCCAGCCATTCCATAAGTTTGTTAAAGGCTTCCTGGAACTGTGACAAATCATGAAAAATGTGATGCAAAATAATTTTTCTTACAGTACAACTGAAACAATATAGCAATGTAACAGACTCTGACGGCTATACGGTACCTGCTTGGATCTTTTTCGGGCATCATCTAATGCTCGTCCTCTTTCTAGTGAGCGTTGGACAATGTTTTCCCATCTGCTTTGTACACTGATCAGTAAATTCTTGATTATTACTACATCCTCTTTTTGGCTGAAATATTTTAAATGGGTTCCAGTTTTATCCAACTCCATGATCTGATCTTTGTGCGAATTAACTTCGGTAACAAACACCTACAACCAAACACAATGACATGTACAGATGCTTATGCAGCAAGTAAAAAAATAAAATTAGCACGTAGGGCTTTTGCACTTTTCCTGCCATTTTCAGGGCTCTCCAGAACTGGATGCCCACTCAGGGGAAGCATTAGAAAGCTTTGCTGCAGCACAAAGCAAGCTGAATGTACCACTGATTTCTTGTGTGTATTCATCAAATTAGCCCAATGTGATGTTTTTCACCTGCAGGTGCAAAGGAGGATTAGCAGGCATTATATGCTACTGTGTACAAGCCCTAAAATAATTTAGCACAAAGTTAACCTACAACTTTTAGGAAAATGACTACTTTCTTGTACCTCTGCGCCCATCCATTTAAACTTCAGAATTAAACTGACCTCCTCTGAACTTCTCTAAGTGAGCAGCTGGGCACAAAATGCTCAAGAGTTTTCCATATCACTAATCTGTTTAAAAATATACCCAGTACATGACTCATACAACAATATCTTAAATATTGCATGATTTGGAAATAATTATTAAATTCCTAGGGGTTGATGTATAAAACTTCACCCCACATATACAGTATCTGGGTGAATGCCGGTCGCATTACTTAACTGTCACTAGATGGAGGCGGGGAGCACAGCAATTTTCTCTGCACCTCGGCTCCATATAGTGGCAGTAATGCCGTGTGAATGACATTCACCCAGCTATACACTGGGCAGAAATTTTATACATCAGTCCCCAAGTGTTTGTCCAGTACAGGTTTTTAGAAACCAAGCTTAAGTCAGCTAATGTGATTCAATGATGTGTATGGCCAGCAAAAATATATTTCAAGTGCCCTTCTTTAATAAAAAACAGAAGCATGCTTTGCAGGTTAAATCTGTAAGAACGCCACATGAGGAGTCATGCATTTAGTTGTCATACACACCTTATGTTCATCAATCTGAAATAATACTGTATCCAAAACAAGACTTGCTGGAGAAGCCATAGTTAGCGTCTGCTCTGCTTGAGTTAGCCAGTTAATAAAGTCTTGAAGAGAATTGTGAAATCCTGTTGCCACATTTAGTGCTTCCTCAAGTTTTGTCTATATGTAAAAAAGAGAAAAGTTAAGAATGACACCAGACTCGTTCAGCTTGTAGGTCTATTCCTGTGCTTAAATATTGAGGTTTGCAGCACTGAAGTAGCCTTGTTCACATTTTACTATATTTTAACTAGCAAAAATAACAGCCTAGGCAATTAACTAAGAGAGATGACTACAATGTTTAATGTTCAAAGGTCAAAAAAAGGAGCGCTGCTTTGTAGAAATGTGGTTTGTGTTTACAGGTGGCCCTCAGTTTACGGTTCACTGATTCAAAATAGCACCCTTTTCTGGGAGTGTTGTAAATTGAAACCAAATATATACAGGGTTATTCACAAAAGGGTGAAGAGTTTGGAGAAGCCAGGAGAAGTGAACAATCTAGGACAACATAGCTGACCTGGAAAGTGAGCTGAATTGGAGAGGTTTTCCAAATCAGCTATTTTGGCCTAGATCGTTCACTTCTCATTCCTAAAAGTTAAGAATGACACCAGACTCGTTCAGCTTGTAGGTCTATTCCTGTGCTTAAATATTGAGGTTTGCAGCACTGAAGTAGCCTTGTTCACATTTTACTATATTTTAACTAGCAAAAATAACAGCCTAGGCAATTAACTAAGAGAGATGACTACAATGTTTAATGTTCAAAGGTCAAAAAAAGGAGCGCTGCTTTGTAGAAATGTGGTTTGTGTTTACAGGTGGCCCTCAGTTTACGGTTCACTGATTCAAAATAGCACCCTTTTCTGGGAGTGTTGTAAATTGAAACCAAATATATACAGGGTTATTCACAAAAGGGTGAAGAGTTTGGAGAAGCCAGGAGAAGTGAACAATCTAGGACAACATAGCTGACCTGGAAAGTGAGCTGAATTGGAGAGGTTTTCCAAATCAGCTATTTTGGCCTAGATCGTTCACTTCTCATTCCTTCTCCAAACTCTTCACCCTTTTGTGAATAACCATGATAATCTATGTCAATGGGAAGTGAGGGAGTTAGGTTCCAGACCTCTCTCAAAACAAGGAATGGTTCTAAACAGAAACTGGTGTAAACTGAAACCCAGTAAATGTAAATCAGTGTAAAGTGAGGAAGTTAGGCTCCAAACCTCTCTCAAAATTGACATAAGTAACATAATACAGGTACATTTTATTAAAAGCTCCTTCTATGAGCTCATGCAGCAGCTTTAAATATAATGTACCTGTATTTTATTAACTTATGTCAATTTTAAGGTCTAGAACATAACTACCTTGCTTCCCATTGACTTACATTAAAAACTGGATATCAACTTACATCTATTTACAACCATTCCCTCAGGAACCTAATCGGTCTCAGGGGGGCTGTGCAGGATCTGTGGTGGGCTCTGCAGGGTCTCAGGGGGGCTTTGCAGGATCTGTGGCGAGCTCTACGAGGTCTATGGTGGGCAGATCCGACCACAGATCCTGCACAGCCCTCCTGAGACCCTGCAGAGCCCCCACAGATCCTGCACAGCCCCCCTGAGGCACTGCAAGACCCCCAC